TGCAGTTTACAATTTTGAATGAAAGCGCATGATTGCAATAGACAATGTGTTGTTAAGTGATGAAGTGGTACAAGAGCAGTTTGTCTGTGATCTTAATTCATGCAAAGGCGGTTGTTGTGTAGATGGTGATTGTGGTGCCCCTTTAACCGATGAAGAAGCGGTAACAATTGCTGAAATATACCCCATAGTAAAGCCTTACTTATTACCCGAGTACATTGCCGAAATAGAGCGGCAGGGAACGCATGTAATCGACGATGAGTACGGACCTGTAACACCTACCATCAACGGAGGTATCTGTACTTATGCTTATACCGACGAGGTGGGTATTGTAAAATGCGCTATTGAAAAAGCCTGGAAAGAAGGGAAAGTAGATTTTCAGAAGCCGATCTCCTGTCATTTGTTCCCGATCCGGGTCACAAGTAATCCCGGTTATGAGCTGGTCAACTATGAGCCACGCAAAAAGCTGTGTAAGCCAGCCTGTAAATTGGGCAAACAGCTAAAGCTGCCTGTTTATAAATTCCTGAAAGATTCCATCATCCGCAGATGGGGCAGCGACTTTTATGAGGCACTGGATGCAGTGGCTGTTAAGATGAACAGTAAATACTAAGCATTTCAACGGTATTTATAACCAGTTATCCAATAATATAATTTACAGTTACGCCTGGTTTTGAGCTTGGTTATTTATCAGACCTGCCTTCTCAATCTGGCTACTGGTATATTGGTTTGCTCCCGGTATTTTGCAATAGTGCGGCGTGCCAGGTTAAATCCTTTTTCCTGCAATAATTCTTTGAGCCGATCGTCTGATAACGGGTTTTGTTTATCCTCGTTATTAACCATATCCTGTATCATCAGTTTTACTTCGCGGTTTGAAACCTCTTCACCACTTTCATGTTGTAAGGATTCAGAAAAGAAAAATTTCAGCTTGAACGTACCAAATTCTGTTTGTACAAATTTACTGTTAGACACTCTTGATACGGTAGAGACATCCAGATTAGTTACACTGGCCACATCTTTTAAGATCATGGGACGCAACATGCTCTCATCACCCGTCAGAAAAAATTCTTTCTGAATATTGATAATGGCCTGCATGGTATGGAACAACGTTTGCTGGCGCTGGCGGATCGCATCCACAAACCAGCGGGCAGAGTCCAGTTTTTGTTTAATAAACGTAACCGCCTCCCGCTGACGTTTGTCTTTTTTCTCACCCCGGTCATAGGCCTTCATCATCTCCATATAACCTTCTGAAATGCGCAGCTCCGGGGCGTTCCGGCTGTTCAGCGACAACTCCAGGCGGCCATT